AAAGATGGCAACCCCAGCTTTGCACCACCAAGACCACTTATACCCCACAACAAATGAGTCTACAACAAGCTGTGTGAGCAACAAGCACACCAACTAGCCCCACCATCCGTAAAATTTTAAGAATTCATGGACCGTACCATGATGCACATTGGGGTCATTGAGACTAAATTACACTCCATGGACTTTGCCCTCCATCAGTCGAATGAGAAAATAGAAACCTTGATGTAGACACTAACTCAAAGCTTGCAATCAACCACCCACCAGTGCAAACGATGACCACTAGTGGAGTTTTCTGCCTCTCTTCCTTTTATTTTACATTTACTTCCTGCTTTATTCATAATTTTGGTTGTTTTATTTTACTTTCACTGTATTAACTTTTGTCTCGCGGCTCACCAAGGGAGAGACCGCTGACCGATCAACTCATTTCAAACTCAGAAGTGTTTGCATAAGCCTTGTCTAAGGATTAAGTCACATTGCTCCCAATCAGAATGCAAAATCATTTCAAACAAATATCGTTTCCTCATACACACCACATCCAAGCAATGAGGTTAGGGGAGTACTTTGTCCCTTCATTTTCTTTTTCATTTTTTACAATATATTAGGGATAATGTGTGATATAAGTATGGGGGAAGAGACATTCTACACTCTACATTCTGCATCATAAGCAACTTTATTTTTAAACTTAGAATCCCATGTTGGGCAATTCTCGACTCATTATTGTCTTTAAACAACTCAGATGAGACAACTCAAAATTTAAATTGCATTATTGACCAGCCTCTAGGAACTATAGTTGTTTTTCATCTTCCCACACCTGGCATAGTTGCCTTTGGTTATGAATTTCAAACATGGTATGCTTGAGTATTGTTTGTTCAAAATTGAATTATTTTAATCTTTGAGTGAATGTCAATATCTGGAAAAAAAACTCTACTGCAACCCATCTAGATTTACATGTTTAAAATTATGGGGTTCATGTAAAAAAACAAGAGAGAGCATGCATAATAATCTACTCTTGTAGTCTTGAAATAGGCATTAATTAAGTAATCAGGGTCATTCATCACAATTATTTGTACTCGCATCAAAAAGTTAGTAACATCTGAAAGCACAATGAGTAGCGTTAGTAACCACTTAAAACTGCGATCAACTAAGTAATGGGGTCATTCATCACAATTGTTTATACTTGCATTAAAAGGTTGGTGATATTTCAAGCAAGCAAAAAGTGCTCAAGTTACATATAAGTTTTCTATTTTTCGCATGGACCAATTGCATGAAACCTCTATATCTAGACAAGTTCGGTACTTGTTCTACTATATGTTGGTTGTTCCCCTTGACTTATTTTTATAAGAAAAAAGTACAAAACTCTCCCATGTCGTGTTTGGATATTATCAAAATGATTATTTATGGGTGTGGGTCCATGAAACTCAAGTTTACAAATTACTAAATAATGGTTATTTTAGCAACTTAAGGGTTGATATATAACATGCGGGTTATGATGAAATGATTGGGAGTAAGTGAGTTGAAGGTGAAGAAATCAATATTTGTGGAATGTACTGTGTCGAGCTTGAGGGCAAACACCTGATAAGTGTGGGGGAGTTTGATAATTCCTGATAACAACATCATTATCACCCACTTTTGGGTTATTAAACTTGATGATATGTCATCTAATCCAAGCTATTTTCTGTATTTTATTACAGTGTTGGATACAAGGGCAAAATGGGAGAAAAGGCAAAACCCTAGCCTTTTGGGGGATAAAAGGCAGGCTGCGACGAGCAAAATGATCATCTCTCTTCTTCTAGATGCCACACACAGTAGCGACTACTGCTTCGACAATTTTTCTTCTTCTCCCTACTCTCCAAAAACTCTTCTATATTGAAAAACTCATTATGAGTGGCTAACTCACTTTCTTTTCCTAGTTGAGATTTAGTAAACTCTAGTAATACATATGTGAGATTAATTTGGATTAATATATGTTCTATCCAAATTTTGGTATTTATTTATCTTCTGCATCTATACATATTTGTTGTCTTGAACATGTTTGAACAGGGATCGTTGGACGTTGGAGAGGTGGCAAGCAGTTAATCGACCCCCTTAAATTATAATTGTTTGAGTGGTTCCACTACCAAGTAACGATCAGTGTCGCACTGAGAAGGTAAGTAATCTTGTTGATTAATTCACGTATGTGAATCCGGCAGCTTGAATAAGGTCTTTCTAGTTTTCAAGACCTTTGACAAATTAAATCCTGTGGACATTCCCAAGATTGTTTGGCAGTGAAGAACTAACTAATAAAACTTTCTTGATTAGTTTAGGAATAAGGAATGATTAGCTGTCGGAACGTTTTCTACAACTATAACTAATTTACCATATTTTGAGTAAAATAAATTCTTGTATCTATGATCAATTACATTATTAGAACTAGTTATTCATCAGTAAGAAATTCTTCTTATAATTGTTTTAATTTTTAATTTATAATCAAGAGTTTGTTTAATATTATTTTATTCATTGTTTATTTTATATTTTGCGTATTGGATTTTAAAAAAACTCTTCTTATTTGTTTTTTATTCGTTGGTCAAGGAAGAAAATTGGTTTCCAGTTCCTTGTGGATTCAATCCTTATTGCCACTACTACAATATTATTTTATTGGTTAATTAGAAATTTATTTTTGGTAGATTTGACACTCATCAAACACTTTGATGAACTTCACTAAGTTATATTTTGATCACACTCTCCCCATCTAAATGAATTCTTCTTCTATAATGATGGTATACTAAAAATGAACATTGTTTTCCTCATGGGTGACCATCCAAAACCTCTTTTTGATATTCTACAAGCTAAAATCTATTATATCCAACCTCTTTGGCTAATAATATCTAACTTCTTCACATAAGTAAAGTATCTCCAAATAGTAACTCCTTTAGAAATTATTTTGACGTGTTACATCTCATGTGATGTTTTGATATTTTCTTGATGGAAAATCTCTTTATTGTAGGATATGGTCATAACATATAGGAAAGAGCAACATTACTCATCACTAATAATAACATTATTAGTGAGAAATCCACAATAAGATAACCATATACTCTATTAAGTAATCCAATAATTCTTACGTCAAGTATTATCCTTATATTTGAATGCATTATCCTTAAAAGTACACTACTAATAGGAATTTGACGTGAAGAATGATAGAATTTTACAATATATTTGATTTAATTTTCATTTTAAACTTATTAAATTTATACTTTTTTAATTTCTCATGATAGTGCTTATATATAAAATCATAATATTGGTTTTTTTAAAAGAAAATATCCAATTTTTACTATCCGATATAGGAATTTGAATCCTAAAAAAAATAAAAATAAAAAGTGAGAATAACTTATATATTAAAGCTAAGTTGTAATCATATGTAAATATTATTAAAAATGACTTAAAATTAACTAAAAATTAAACAGAGACTTAGGGGGAATGATTAATCAAGAAACAAAGAGAAAGTGAATTGTTAAGGTTAATAAAGTAGATAGAGTTTGTGATATTTTGAAAAAAATAGGATAAGTGATAGTATGAGTGCAACAACCTTTGAATTTGATTTACAAGATTTTGAGGAATCTTGATGAAGCTTAGATGTGATAATTATAATTCACATGATTTAAGGAACTTTTAAGTGAAGAGCCAACACATGCATATGAAAGAATCAAAAAGGGAGGAAATTATCTTGAGGATGAGAGAAAAATTAAAAGAAGACAAAGAGTAAAGAAATATCCCAACAGTGAGAGAAAAATGAGAAAAGTGGAAAAGGAGGGAAAATCCCTCAGGTGGGAGAAAATCCCTCGGCCAAGAATTTTTTCCCCAAGCTTTGCCAGTTTTTCCCTTAACCAAATAGCAATCTTTGATAATTTATGGACACCTAATTGGCTAAGGTAGCAAGGGTTGGAGAGTGTGGGAAGGTAGGCAGCTGTTTTTGGGACAAATCTGGATGAATTTGAACACATAGCAAGCAAGGTGTCAACCAAGAAAAAGATGGAAAGCTAGCTAGTTATTTATGGAGTAAAATGGACAAAACTTCTACACGAAAACAGCAAGGTCTCGACTTTAGGGGAGATAAGAGAGTTAGTTGTTAATTTTGAAAGATCACTTGGCCAAATGTCCTTCCTTTGCTCAACAAGATGTCTTTCTTAGATGGAAGCTATTGACACATGTTGCAAGGTGGCTTCTTTTAGTGTACTCTCTACAACTTATAAATAGAGGAAGCTAGAGGGGGAGTAGAGCAAGCAAAGCAAAGCAAAGAGAGAGGAAAAGAAAGGAAGAGAGCAAAGAAAAGCGGAAAAAAAATATTAAAATTAATAAATTAAATTAAGAATATTTAGAAAATGTTAAAATTAATAATTTAATAAAATTAAATTAGGAAATAAATTTGAAAATTAATTTAATTAAAATTAATGAGGAAATATTAAATTTTGTAAATCAATTAAATTAAATATTGTAAAAAAAATTTAACCGATAAATAAATTAAATAGATGTTTAGGGACCCAAAATAAATAAATAAAAATAATTTGGGGTCTTTTCTAAATTAAAAATTGATACATGGGCCTAAATGAAAAGAAAATTTAATTTTGGGCCTTAACGCGATTTTCGGAACGCGTGCCACCTCAACAAGTGTCGTGCCTGCTGACTAATTGGAGAAGGCCACGTGTTTGCTGGCCTGCACGCGTCGTCAACCAGGCAGGCTCATCTGGTAAGCTGATCGAACAGCTGCGAGTTTGATGTCAATCTAACAACCGGGATTGCGAGGGATAGATCCAACAGTGTGCAAGCATACAGGAGGAAATTAATCCAACAGCTACGCATGCAGACTGTCCAGATGAGTGGGAAGTTGAAATCAACGGTGCGAATCTATTTAACAAGGGAAATGAGTAATTTGCCCATAATGAAAGGTGATCAGACAGTCCATAGGTGGCCATATTAGATCTAATCCAACGGTCTGAAATTATTTGGGGGTGGGTATTTATAGGTCCTCTTCTTTTTACCCTTAACCCTAACCACCAGAAAAGAATTGAGAGGTTGAGATAGGGTCGCCAAAAATAGGAAGAAGGCGGTGGAGCTAGGGGGGCCACCGCATCAGAAGAAGAAACCGACAAAGGCAAGCTGATTTCTTCCAGTTTCTCTTCCTTTTCTATTCTAGTTTAGATTTTATTAATTTTTATGCACATTTAGGGAAACAAAATCCATCCAAAAATGGTAAAACCTTTGGCCAAAGGAAGCCCATCCCCCACCGTGAAGCATGACCATTTTCTGTTCAGGTTAAGGTAAGGGTACCAATATAATGACATTTTTGTTAATTTTTGTTAATTTTTTTTGTTAATGGATTCAGTAGCATAGTTTGTAAAGGATGAACACTGAGAGGGAAACAGCGAAAATACGGTCACAAATAATCTTGTAAATTTATAAACAATCCCATTTATGTATATATATATATATTTCATATGATTACATATATGAGTATATGTGTGTGTGTGTGTGTGTGTGTGTGTGTGTGTGTGTGTGTATACCTATTAATGTGTATATGTAATTAATTAAATACAAGAGCGTATGTGTCTATGTAAAGGAGTATATAGTTCTGTGTGTATATATGTGTATATATATAATCTGAGTACGTGTGTGCAAGCAGATACAGGCATGTGAAATAAATATTTATTTTATTTTGAATGAAATAAATATTATAAGAAAATAAGAAAATGATTTTCCGGAATTGGATAAATAATAGATAAAATAAATTAAAGAAAAAAACTATTATTAAAGTAGGATGAGTACTTCAGGAATAATCTCATAAACTACTTGATCAAAATAATTAAGATTAAGAGTAAATTAAATAAAATAAGCTGTGTGTAAAATTAATACAAAATGAAAAGAAAGTAATATCTTTAAAAAATTATGTAATTGATCAAATATACAAAACAAGTAAAAAAAATAAATTGGATAAATGTCTTAGTAATTGAAATAGCTGTAAAATCTAGATGCGCATGTAATAGGATTAAATGAAACTCTTGAGTTCATGGTAGATCCAACGAGACTTAAATGTTGTGTAGGTTCTCTGCTAATTTTGGGATGATGTTTGAAGTTCAAATTAGAATCTTTTCGCTTCAAAATCTATACGTTAAGGAATTTTTTTTAATATGGTTTAAGAAATAAGTAGTTGAGAAATAAGGGACTAAATTAATTATCAAATGTTGGAAAACGAAAAAACTATGGTTTTCATTCATGATGCTTGTTGTGTGATCAAGTTATGCTTGCGTATGTACTGTTTAAATGCTGTAATGGAAGTGATTTTGGTGATATTGAAAAGTTTATGAATTTGGGATTTTGAAAAGTTAGTGGGTAATGATGATTAAATTCTAATATGAATGGTATAGAAATTTATTGAAGCTAACATTGGGTGTGAACGAGTTAGGGGATAATTAGAAAATGAAATAAATCTAATGAATAAAATTTTAAAACCTACATAACTAAAACTCAAATAAAAAATATGTAAAACTTAATAATTAAATAAAATTTTAGATGTCCCCGAACAATTAATTACCGAAAAGATTTTAGTTGACGTATTGAACTGGTTATGTAGTAAGAGTAAGTCGGTGAAAAATAAGTTAAGTTAATAAAATTAAAATGAATGAAATAATATTAAATACGCGAATGAACATTTTATGATGATAAGAGTAAAATAAAATAAAAGGGATGAAAAGAGAATAATGAAGGTAATTAAGTTAGTATGTAAATGGATTCAAGAATTGAAAATGAAAACACAATCACACCACAAATAAATAACCTACATTAAAGCATGTCAAAAAAGAAAATAATAAATAAGTGAAACTTAAATCATTTAAGGGCTATAGTATGAAAGAAAATTGAAAGTAATAAAAGCGACCAATAGTTAAGGGTGAATTAGTTGAAAAAAGTATTACAAGTCTTTAGAGAAAAATAATTAGTCTGATAGAAAGTGAAAAATATAATTAAATATATAAATAAAACTCAAGGAACAAAATAAACAAACAAACAAATAGTACAAAAAATCTTTCAAACAAAATGTTTAATTTACGTAAGAACAATATGGTTGAAATTTAGCAATGGGTGAACCCTATTTATTGATGGATAAAAACTCTTTCAGACGTGGTTATGATGTATGTTTTGTTCTAAGTCACCTAGTAACAGATTGTTGTGACCAATTATTATATGTTTTGTGTATATGTCTACCCAAAGAGATAGTGGAGATCCAGATTCCAAAATAGTACTTATTCTGTTAGGTACTCTAAATGCGATTAGAAATCGATAACTAATAATTAGATAGAACATTAAGACAACCAAAACTACATTACACATCAAATAAAACTTT